TTAGTCAACCCCCTTCGGTAGTATTTCCTGGCCCTATCCTTTTGTGTTTTAAATGTCAGGCTATATAGAACTATGGGTACGACTTAATACTTCCTTGTTAACCATCTATCTAGCACCATTTACTTGGTTTGAGAACTTAATCCATTTTCTTGGGTTGAAAGCCCAATAGTTAATAAACCTGGGAGAATTCTTTTATTTGAGATATATATATATAGTATATAGCATAAGTATCACATATATAGCAAAAATTTTAAAATATATATATAGATCATTGCTGGTGTTCTAAGCAATGTAGGGTTTTCCCCTATAATTGTTTTGAGGAGAAAAGACCAAAGTCCTAGGATAAAAGTAGGGAAAAAAAATCATGAACTAAGGAGACACTAAGTCATTTGATAATAAATAATACTACTTTATATTATTGATAATAATATTGATAATGTCAATAATTATTGATAATAAATAATACCATATTTACAGTTATATACAGTTGATGTGGGTTGGATAATTTAGGAAAATTTGAGAAACTGAACTAAAATTTTGAAGGGTTTGCATGGGTGGAGAAGATCAAGAGAAGATTCTGGGAGGCTGGAACAATATGAATAAACCACCAAAGTGGAAATGCAGACAAGTATTGCATTATATTAATTTGTATACTGCATGGAGTATAGGGCATAATGGGGCCCCATAAATGATTATGGAAGTGGAGAATCTTGGGAAACCAGGTTGGATGAGAGCTTGGGTCTGGATAGTGGCTGGGGAACAGAGAGGAAGGGACAGAGAAGATAAACATTTTGAGGATGAAACCAACAGTACTTACTTATGAGAAAATTAATTAAGCCCTCTCAGTTCCAAATGATTTCACTGCACCATGAGGGCATAACATTTCTTCTCACAGAATTTGTGTCAGGTTCAGCAGTGGTCCTTAATCCCAGCAAAACAATATCCCTTTATTGTGACCAATATTTTAGTGACCCTGTACTCTCCTCAAATGAAATTCATTATTAATTCATAATGAATAATAATTTTGAAAGTATCACCGTAATGATTTGCTGTAACATAAAGGAAAACTCAGAGAAAGTGGTTAATATTAAAATATTTATTTTAAAATATAGATGTCCACATATGATCATACCAGAAGATATAATGATGTGGTCAGATATACCTATATGTAAATCATGACAGCTACCAATGCAGACCCATACGGGTGTGTTGTGCTAATAACTCAGATACCACAAGTGACACCACCTTCAGTGGCACAATTCTCCAGAATGACGGGTGATGCTTGTTAAAGTCCCAAACAGAAGGAAATAGAGCCTCCCCTCAGTTACCTGGTAGTTGCAATACTAAGAATTCAAAGTGTCTAAAAACCTTGCAGAAATACTTGGGTATAGATGTGAAACAGAGTCAAATTCTGTGCTCAAGAAATTATAAACAGGTTTCACCTACAAAAAAGTCCACTGGCACTTTAGAAAGTCTCGGGGAAGTGGGGCAACTTTTTCATTGTCTGAGATGGAGGCCCTGTGGGACTTTGACCATCCCTGGATCCCATCCATTAGATCTGGGGAACCGAGACAACCAGAAGTACCCCCACCACTTGGCAGCCCTGGAGGGAGAGAACTGCCCCCACGGAGAACATTGGCTCTCAGGTTTCAGCCGGGTAACTCAAGGATGGTGGCAGACAGGGAAGCTGGAAGGGGAGGATTTGGGTGGCAAGCCCAGAAAAGGAGTTGGCTGCAGAGCTTTCTTCCTTAGTTGAGCAGAGTCTCCACTTCCTTAAATACGTCAAATCTGGCTTTTCCAACCTGGTGAGCGTTTTAAGTTCTGAGCCCAGGTAGAAAATGAGGAAAAAAGACGGTATTTTGTTTGGCATAAATGCAAACCGTTTCTGGCTTATTTCCTTTAAATGCTAGCAAATGCAGTCTGATTCCCTGCCTTCCACATTGGCTCATTGGCAGGAATGTATTAGGTCTCAAGAATTCAGGAGAGATCTAGTTCTAACATGAATCCTTGAAACATTTTTGAAATTTAATTCTTGTTTTTCTTTAACTATAGATATGATCTCCTTCCATGTTTTTCAGTTTTGTAAAGTATGCAATTAATATCTAATCCCCATTGGCATTTGCGTTCTGCACAATTGAATGTATTGAGCAGACATGCATGATTGTCTAGTATTATCACTGCATGTTGCCTTCTGCTTGGGTGTTTTAAACAAATGGAAAGGACTTGATCCCCTGAGAGTACTTCCCAAAAGATTTTGAGCCGTTGATTTCCATTTAACAATGGTAACAGGCACATATACTCTTTCGCAGATATGAATGTGCTGTATTTAACCTGTAAATAGTCATTTGGCCCAAAGATATTGGGCACATTTCAAATGCATGCTGATTTATAATATTCCAAGGACATAAATCGGTTTGCAGTCTTATTCTAAGACCAAGTTTATTGATTAGCCTATCAGATGTATACTATTCAGGACAGCAGATTGAGCATTGTGAGGAAATCAGAAGTGAACTAGACGCTTTACACCCTCAAGGAGTTTGTTGTCTAGTAGGGATGATAAAATCTCACATATAAAAGTAAATGGTAAACTAGAAAGGTAAGATGGAGTGTGGATGAAGTTTCTGAGATGAAATAGTACTGTCCTTTGAAGAAGGCTTCCTGGAGGCGGTAGAATTTTTAAACTTGACCTTAAGAATTCATTAAAATTTTGGCAGGTAGGACATGTTAAATTTTGAGGAATGGCTTTCTAAGCTGATATACATGTGAACAGAGGTCATGAGTGTGTGTGCATGTGCGTGTGGCTTCTCATTCCTTAATAATATGCATTCTCCATGTATCGTCTGGGTGTAATTAAGTGACTTTGAATAATTGGTGATGTGATAAATCTCATTTGATCTTGCTGCCTTTCTGAAAAAGTCCTCCAATTTAAGAGCTAAATATAAGTTTTGCTTTTTTCCATAGAAGATTTCCCTTTTACCACTCTAGCTCTTGGGATCCTACTACCATTTCAGAAGTGTGGAATGTGTATATTCATGGTAAATGGCAATCAGATAGAAGGCAGATCTGCCAGGATTGTCGTAGAGTTCAGTTGCTAAAGTAGAGAGGTATTCTCGATACCACGTGTTTCCCAGGTATTGAACTTGAGGACAACACAGAAACTGAGCCAGGGGACCCTAGACCCCTCTGGTTCCATGCCCTTCCATTAGACTATTTCCAGTGGCTTGAATCAAATTGCTTCTGCTTCCTGCTGCTGGTCCAGACTTACTACTGTCCATCTCCCAATTCCTCTGGCCTCTACCTGTAACCCTCACCTGTAGTCTGGACATTTGACTAAGAGCACGTTAGTCAATATGAAATCTTGGCCAAAAGGACATGTTTGTCTCATGGAGAGATATCTGCACCCCACGTTCATCGCAACTTTATTCACAGTAACCAAGACAAGGAAACAACCTAAGTGTCCATCCGTGGATGAATGGATAAAGAAAATGTGATACACATACAAAGGGGAATATCATCCAGCCATAAAAAAGAAGGAAATCTTGTCTTTTGCAACAACATGGATGCACACCGAGTGCATTAGGCAAAGAGAAATAAATCAGAGAAAAACAAATACCGTATCTTGTCATTTATATGCAGAATCTATAAAAGCTGAACTCCAGGAAAGAGAGAGTGGAATGGTGTCTCCTGGGAGTGGGCAGGGGTGAAATGCTAGTGAAATTGTACAAATGCCCAGCTCTAAGTTAAGTAAGTTCTGGGGGATCTAATGTACAGCACGGTGAGTATATGCCTTATTATATTCTTGGAACGTTGTGAAGAAAGTAGATCTTAAGTGTTATCACCACACACAAAAAAAGGGGTAGTGAAGGGAGGAGGTGCTGAGAGGAGGGGTATCAAATCATCCCATCGTATACTTTAAACTTGTATATGTTATATGCCAATAATATCTCAAAAACATTGGAGGGGTGGGGAAGGACATGTTTGTCAAAACTTAATTATGTGTTGGAAATGTTTCTCTCTGATCTGGATGGTAGTTACTGATGGTATAGGCGTATAAATTCATCAGGTTGTACTTTTAAGATTTGTGCTTTTTGTGTATATTAATCCATTAATAAGATAAAAATGCATTATCTTGGCCTCTAAAATGGATATTGCCAACTTTGGTCTATCTTGGGGCAATTTTGCAGTGATTTGTGCATTTTCAAACACTTAAAATAAATTTTCAGAATTTTTAGTGTTTTTCTTTTGTATCCCTTTTAAATCGTTTTTCAGTCAATGAGTTGACGCTACCTAGTCAACAGAGGATTCATTGTAATAACAATGTAATAACATTGTACCTCTTCAAAATTACAAGAAGCTCAGTAGAGCAATAATTGCTTTCCGAACAAACGTTTTGAAACAGAATAAGGGCGTGGCAGACAACATTTCTGAAAAGAGATGAAAATACTTGTTTCAAAAGCACCTTTTTAATGCTTCAGGATTTCCAGTACTTAAATAGCTAGAATTTGAAATAATTACCTTGCAACTGACTCATTATTTTGACTAAGTTGTCATGTTTACCAGCTTGCATTCAATTTCATACTTTTCAGCCAGTACTTAAGCCAGTTTTCCTATATTCCCACCTGATGGCTGTAGCCTTTGGTTAAAATTCAGACTGAAGTCTAGCGGTGAGTAAGCAGTAACTGTGTGATGATGTAAAAGGGAACAAAAATAGAACTTCCAGTAAAAGCTTTACCGTTAGCCGTGTTTCAGAACTAAAGAGAGAAAAACATTCCTTTCTGGGAGAGGGCTTTTGGGGGAAAAAAATCAAATTTGATGCCATTAAATTATAGGATTAAATTCATGAAGTCCAGGACCTGTATGAAAATTAAAGTTTAACTTCTTCCCCGAGGAAACCCAGCCAATCTCACCATCTCGGATGGATTTACCAATAGGATGAAGTAGCTTCTAAATGTTGTTATTGGTTTTGAAGCCATTTAACACGAACTGTTTTATTGGAACAGGACAGCTGGGAAGTGGTGGAAGGGCTGAGAGGAGAGATGAGTTACACCCAGGAGCCAGCCATTCAAAAAGGATTTTTGCTGAAAAAGAGGAAATGGCCCTTGAAAGGTTGGCACAAGGTAAGACACTGGCCTTGGACTCATCTTTATTTGCACCCACTCAGTATACGGTTTGTAGGCATGTATAGTGTATATTTTATTTGAAGTTGAACATTGGGACCAAGGGAAGGGTGTGTATTTAAATGGGATGCCTTAGTGAATTACCCTTTCTTCCCTACAGAGATTTTTCTATCTGGACAAAGGAATCTTGAAATATGCCAAGAGCCAAACCGATGTAAGTCTTCTCCTTAATCGAATATGTTATTAAAGAATTCTGAAGGGCTCATTGTTGTCAGCCCATGGATGAGATTGTACACATTGGGGGATTGCATTTCTCTGAACTGGAAACCATAGGGAGTAATAGTTCCTTCGCATGGACCAGAGGTGCCAGCTTCCCACTGTCCCAGCCCTGGGTGGGCTCAGTTTGCCCATCAAGTCAAGGTGGAGGGCTCCTCTCAACACCCCAGTGGGTATCCAGGGGTCTGTTCAGTTCTTAGGGTTGGGCTGAGGGGTCCTCTGGGTGGGAAAAGACATTTTCCCAGCAAGCTAACAGGAATCAAACATAGGACAGGTATCACTCTCACAGTTAGAGTGACTGAGGGGTTTGGTGGAGAAGGCCCTTGATGAAGGGGATAGGAAGTTCCCTGTTGCATTAACATGAGGGACACAGCCCACAACGGCTGGAATGACTGTTCGTCCTGTCCCTTATATGGGTCCTCCTCTCCCCCAGCACTTCCCCCTTCCCTTCTTGCTTCCCTCGCCTCCTAGAGCTCATGTCCTCGGGTTGCCTATAGAAAACCTGACGTAAGGCCTGACCCACGGTGGCTTGTCTTAGCCTCCCCCCTTACTCCCCTTTTTAAATCATTTCCAGATGAATTTAGAGATTGGGAACTAATTCTGGGGAAGTCAGTGCAGGTAGCAGGTGAATTCACTGCCATGGGGGTCCATCCATGGACTTCCTCCCTTGCTTACTTACTCACTGGCTGTGCAAAGAAAGCACTTGTTGCTTAACCCCCCCATAGACTCAAACAGGTAATGCATGGACAACACTTAATTCAGTACCGGTTCACACTAAGTGCTTGGTAAGTTGTCGTTATTACATTTGTATTCGTGGATGTGAAGGGGAGGCTAGAGGAACGTCAGGGATGTTACTACTGTTTTTAACAGCCTGCACCTCAACTGGCCCTCTTCTCACGCCTCTGCAGATCGAGAGAGAGAAGCTGCATGGCTGCATCGATGTTGGGCTTTCGGTGATGTCTGTGAAAAAGTCATCAAAATGCATAGATCTAGATACCGAGGAGCACATCTACCATCTGAAGGTGAGGCTGCTTCCCTGGAGTGATCTCCTGTCCCATGGTTTCTTTCAGTTGCAAAGGGATTGTCAGTTACAGTGCTATTTGGTAATGCCCTTTTGTTTATTTCAAAAGATCCAACCAACGTGTAGAAGATCTTCATTATGAAAGTTATTTCTAACAGATGCTATTGATACTTGGATGGACCATCGCACAGGCTGCCAGAGGTTTAGCATCCTTGTCGCCCACCCTGTAGGGACCACGCCCCACACATACCATGATTATGACAACAGTCAGTAATTACTAAAATCGTTGTGTTTCCAAATAACCCCTCCTCCCCCAGACTGTAGTGCCTATAGTGAAGAACCATGTCCCATGGGTTAAAGTAGGTTCCCTGAAACACAATATTTACCGCTTTAGCTATAATCTAAAACCCCTATAATTTTATAGGGATTCCAATAAAATTCTCATAGTACAGTGAATGTCGGGAACTTTTCTCCTAAAGTATGGGCCTCCTCCAATTAATACCTCTGAAAGTGCCTCACTCGTCCCTTCTGCCCTCTCCCCTGCCAGGTGGTAGGGTCCAGAGGTCCAGATCTGGTTCAGATCTTGACCTGGCTACTTACAGGCTATTGGCCTTTGGCAAATTTTTTAATCCTGAAAGTCTCCGTTTTCTCACCACCCTTCCCCAGAATGGGAATTATTATAGTGCCCATGTTGTACTGCTGCATGGAGGAAACTTGGCATGATGCCCGGCCTGCTGTAAGCTCAAGAACTTTAGCTTTTGTGTATAATTATTAGATGGGACCCAAACATGAGGAGTTAATTGAGAGGATTTTAAAACTCTTTTCTTACTTCGAGCAAATTACTTGGAATAATGAGCGTGGGGGTTGGGGATTGGGAAAATGAGCATGAGATGGTGAGCTCCATGTCTTAGGATGCCCCTGCTCTCCTCACAGGACCTGTGTGGTGCTTACACAAGTATATTCCTAATACATACATGTGGTCAGTCATGCTGCGGCCTAGCCTAAGTCCTGAGCAAAGCAGAGATTCTCACCCTTGGCGCTACTGACATAGTGGGCTGGAGAATTCTTGGCTGTGGGGTCTGTCCTGTGCATTAGAGGGTATTGAGGGGTACCCCTGGCCTCTTCCCACTAGATGTTGGTAACAAGCCCCTTTAAGTTATAACAGTCAAAAAAACATCTCCCATTGCCAAATGTCCCTTGGTTGAGAATAACTTAAAAAAAAAAAAAAAAAAAAAAAAAAGAAAAGATAAAACAGCCCACTCTCCCACCCCCTGCCTCGAAGGTCGATTAGTCTCCTCTAGAAGAGTGTCACTTGTGTCTCCATGTATTTTCAATGACCCCTACTTAGTTCTGTCTTGACATGGTCAGGTTCATCCACTGCTTCACATAGTAGAATAAATTATTATTCCTAAGTTTGGAATTATTCATTCCTAGGTTTGGAAGAACCCGAGTGCTTAAAATAACATTGTGTGCTAATACCATGACAAGCAGTTTAGTATTTCTCTGTGTTGATTTACTCTTAAGTTCTGTTCGTGTTTCTTGTTCATTTGATTGAAAGTGAGCTGTGAGTGTTCGTGTAGGTGCGAGCTATTGTCTGAGGGTCCTCGTTAGTGGCCTCAGAGTCAGGCAGCTTTTAAGTGGCGGCCGCCCAATCCCATTCTCTTATTTTCTAGATGAGTAATCTGGGCAGCCGAAGGGTTAAGTGCCTGTCCACCCACGGTCCTATATCTGCTGGTGGGGTTGGAACAGAATGCCGGACAGCTACTTAATAAAGTGCTTTGATTCTTCTACCTCACTTAACCAATTAAAAAAAAATGAGTGAAGACGAATGTTCTGGGCGCCGATTTTTAAGGGCCTCTGAGAACAGATCAGCGCAAAGGGTGGTGTCAGATTTCTGTGAAGTTCCTGCCATAAGCATGTCGGGGAAGTGAAATACATTTCAAAGACATAATTTAGGGAGAATAAATAGATGTCCGCCAGTTGGTGTTGCTTTTTCCTGTAAATGATATATTCAGTAGCACCTGGTGGGGGGGGAGGTTCAGGTCCTACATGTCCTTCTAACCAACATACCTAAGAGCTGACCTACCATTTCCTAAATGAGTGAGTGATGGCTACAGACATCTTTGCTCTCAGCAGTGATGGTAGGAAAGATTTGAACAGATTGACCTGGAGTTTGCTTCTTGGAAGATAACCTACCATGCATCCTGTTGGGTGATTTTAATTTGCCACTTCATGAAACTCTGTTCCAATATATAGGTATCTATAGTTTTCCACTTTGAAAATATTAGTACACACAAAACATGGACTGTGAAGAAAGATCTAGTGTGTAGGTGCTTGTTACATTCTTTCTAGTACTTTTATGAACATTCTAATTACTTTATAATAAAGGTGCTAGTTATAAACATTATTCTTCCTGCAAAGATTTATGGAGAGAGTAGCTAACTGTTTGTGTAGGTGTGTTTGAAAAATCTTGGAAATCTCCAATAATCGTTTTTCACATTTTTTTTTTTTCCTATTTCCAAGTACAGGGGAAATGTGTTTTTAAAAAGCCTTCACATTCCTCACCAATGTGTTCTTTGTCAGAGAAGATTAACAAGGTTAAATATTTTGGGAAGAATTTACAAATTCATTCCAGTTCAGAGAAGATTGATCTGAAAAGTTTGAATTATAAAAGAGTTTAAAAAGAAACATGGTGCTAATATTTTCAGTAAGAATGGAAGTGGGGACAAGTGAATTTGGGAATATTTTGAGACAGATCAACATGAATTCTAGTTTATTTGTTGTTTAATATAAGTGGTAATGTTTTGCTTTCTTAATAATAGCATGACAATTGGACCTTTTCATTGAGAACCTAAGTGAAGCTTATGAAGACCATTTTTATTCTCCATTTCCTCCTCAAACGTATTCCTATAATTTCACATAAATTTAAACTAAATCAATAAACTCATATTTCTACATTTCTATACAGGCCAACATATAAAGAGAGGGCGTCTCAATTTAATGAAGAAATTGTTCCTTTCAGTGAGTGACACTCTTGTTTCCTTCTTTTTAATCAACTTAGGTCAAGTCAGAAGAAATCTTTGATGAGTGGGTATCCAAACTCCGCCACCACAGAATGTATCGTCAGAATGAAATCGCCATGTTTCCACATGAGGTTAATCATTATTTCCCCGGATCCACTGTCACAGACTCAGCGTCTGGGGTCTTGGACTCCATATCAAGTAGGAAGGTAAGAGTTTGCCAATAATGAATCAAGAAGAAGGTGGTGACTTTGTGCAAGGGAGTCCCCAATGGGGACTCTCTGAGTAGGAAGGGCTTGTGGGAAAGAATCTCTTTGCCCAGCTGCTCAGAACTAGGGCCAGAGGAGCATCTGTTGTCACTGTGACAGTAACTGAAAAAACACACGGAGGAATTTAATGGTGTCTCCAGCTCTCCCTTGACCATTCTGACTTAGGTTTTCTTCTCTGCTTGTAAAATGAAGTATGCATGTTAATAGCCGTATAGGATTATGAAATTTCTCAACATTTATATCATGATTTTGGTATGATTATCATTTGACCGAAGAAGAAATTCAGGACTGCAGCCCCAGGCATGAGAGCATGGTATGCCAGGCTGAGGCGACAGCCAGAGCTTGGGGGTCTCTAGTGGAGTGCTTTCTTAGAAGCTTCTTTCCCATTATAAGCCATGGCTTCTGTTAGCGACCAGCTCACTCTGTTGTCCTTTATCCTAACGTGTCCGCACAGGACTCTGTTTTCATTTATAATGTGCTTTTGTCATCTGTGGAACAGCGTAGCAGTATATCAAAGCAGAACTCCATTCAAACCGGAAGCAATTTATCATTTTCTTGTGCTGGTGAGACACGAGTTCCATTATGGTTACAGTCTTCAGAGGACATGGAAAAATGCTCCAAAGGTAAAGTGACTTGAAACCTCTGCTTCTTTCTGTCATGGCTCTCAGATGGCACTCGTTGAGTATTTACACCTCGGGTGAATTTTCCTCTCACTGGTTCTACATTTCCTCTCAGAGCTCGCTTACTGAATTTGCACAGGTGATGACCAAACGTTACTCTCCCTGCAGAGCTTCCCATCTTCACCTGGCTGTGCATGCAGACAGGTTTCCTTTCATATTCTTTAAGTACCCACGTCTGATTTCCGTGAGGACCTACTAAATCGCTGTCTCCATGGGTGGGTTCTGTGCAGCCCTCTGGTTGTTGTCAATGTTATTGTTTTTAAGTACCAAAACGGACTCCTGTGTACATCCAAGATTGGGAGTCATGGCTCACAGTGAGTGCGCGAACCAAATGGAGTCCCCACGAATAGGAGTTCTCTCCCCTACTTGCACACACAATCACCAGAAGAATATTTGAAAGGCAAGAATACCCACTCTCCAGAAGAATCTCTTTAAATTGGTCTGCACTTGGGCCCTGGCATCACTGATTTTTTGGAGTTTCCCAAATGACTGATAAGGAGTCAGGATTGAGAATTCTTCCATAGGAAGCTTAGTGTTCTCAACCCTAATGAGCTAAGAACCACACAGGGAACTAAAAAACAAAACAAGTCACCAGTGGGATTGGGGATGTTCTGATTTAATTATCTCCAGATGGGAGTCAGACATATGGAATTTAAAGAATTTCCCCAGTGGATTTTAAAGCAGAGCCATGATTGAGAACCATGATAAGAGAAAGATGCCAGGTCTTGAAAAGTGCATTTTATCCGTTGAATGCAGATACTATCACATGTGGGGCTGTATAAGATTTGCCCTCCCAATAAATGTCACGCCGGAGCTTCACTGAGTGACATTTTTGGCACAGGTAGTCCTTGAAGTGCCATCTCTGGGCCAGCAGCACAGGCCTGGCCTGCAAACTTATTTGAAATGTGAATTCTCATACGGAATCAGAAACTGTGGGGGGATCTCAAGGTTCTGTGGTTTAATCAGTTCTTCAGCTGATTCTTTTTTTTTTTTTTTAAAGATTTTATTTATTTATTTGACAGAGTGAGATCAAAAGTAGGTAGAGAGGCAGACAGAGAGAGGGGGGAAGCAGGCCCCTTGCTGAGCAGAGAGCCCAATGAGGGGCTGGATCCCAGGACCCTGGGACCATGATCCAAGCCAAAGGCAGAGGCTTTAACCCACTGAGACACCCAGGCGCCCCCCAGCTGATTCTGATGAGGCCAAAGTTTGAGAGCCATTGGGTCTTGATTTCTCAGTGGAAACAGCCATCGTCATCCAACAAACAGCATATTAAGGACTGTCTTTTGAGTTAGGGACCAAGGAACTGGTGTGAGAACTCTTAGGTCCTCTCAGGTCAATGTGCAGACAATCACCACTATCTCATGTGGGTCCCTGATCTACAGGTGTCCTTGGAGACCAGTACAACCTTCATCTTTTTTTCATTCATTTACTTGTCTGGAGTCCTTGGAATCAGAGAATGACACCCTGTTATTGCAATATTGGACATAATGATGCTAATGATGGGAGCTGATTTACTTATTGCTGACAGGGTACCAGCACTCCAAAAGCATGCTGACCTACGTCAGCTCACAATTATCCTATGAAGGAGTGTATATATAATTCTCTCCCTTTCCCAGATGAGGACACTGAGGCACAGAAGTGATATAATTCGCCCAAGATTCAGAGTTCAGGAAGTGTTCAAACCAAGGCAGTCTTGTTCTCCAAATCTATGATCATCACCATGGCAGTGCACTGCCTCTTCTGTAAAAAAAGGAGTAAGATTTCATCTCCATACAGATATAAGTCAAGTAGTAGAGAGAAATTTAAGAAGTAGCTGGCACAAGCACAGGGCAGCCTGGGTGCCAGCATGAGGGCTTAAGAATCTTCCTTTTGCTTTTGTCCCACAGACCTGGCTCACTGTCATGCCTACCTGGTAGAAATGAGCCAGCTCCTGCAGAGTATGGACGTCCTGCACCGGACGTATTCGGCGCCTGCCATCAACGCCATCCAGGTCAGCCAGATCCCTCTGCTGTTTGCACTGTGGTGTTTTTCTGCTTCCCTCTCTCCTCCTCAGCCTTGAGCTAACAGCGGGACATTGTCCGGTCTTGGTTGCTTCCGCCACATTCCCGGGGATGGAGGTGGTCACTTTGCTGTGCAGTTTTCCCTCTTTGGTCTGGGAGGCCTTACTTTCTGTGCTCTCTCTCCTGTTTTGAAACAAAGGGTACAGCTTTTGAAAGTCCCAAAAAGGAAAAAAGATCTCACCGGAGGTGGCGGTCCAGAGCTATTGGCAAAGACACTACAGGAACGCTGCAGGTAACCGCTGCTTCCCCTGCTCTCCGGGCCGCATGCTGGGGGCTGCGGGGACTCCGATAGGATTTTCTGCAGTCCTGCTTGCTAATAGTCTGTGCAGATAGAAATTCAATCACTTCGATTTTCTGGTTGCTAAATAAGCATGTAATGGAATTGGGTAAGGGGAAATGGCATGAGGATGGAAGGAGTTAGGCCCTTTCTTGGACTTTGGTTTCCCCTTCTTTAATGCCAAACCCACCTGCCCTCTTCCCTGCTTGTGTGTGTGCTTTGACCCACCTCTTCTGTGGCCAGTCAGGGGATTCATCATCCCTCTGAGCCCACTGGAGTCTCTGGAAATGGGACATTATGCAGACTCTCTTTTGCCTCTGTGTCCAACCTCCCAGACCCCCATCAGAGTTTCACTGTGTTATACTAGCTGCCAATCTCCTGAGTGCACAGCTAAGCCAGAGGCTTAGATTTGCATCTCAGCCATTGCATATTAAATGGGGACATTGTTAAGGTCACATAAATCAGAGACTTAAAGGATAAGTCATCGGCTATACTCTTGTGTGTTCTTTGGTTCAAAGCACTTTATAGGTTGAACGTCAGTACTTTCAAAGTGAAGAGTGATTTGTGTACAAACATGTGAGAAGTTTTTTGGAAGCACCAGATGCAAATTAAGGAAACATTCTAAAACCTAGCCACTGTTCACAACCTAGGTACTGGATGGCTATTGCCAGGAGGAAGGAATTGAACAGAAATAAGAAAGAGTGTGGCAGCTACAGCTGTCATTTCCAACCTAGAGCTTGAATGGTTCAATCATTTGCAAAAGAATATGTGATTTCTTACCCATTTTTATTTTGCAAGAAGCCAGAGCAAGTTGCTGGAGAAAGTGCTTTCCTGGGTTTTCATTTATTTTCTTTTAAGTTATCACTTGGTAGAAAGATTTACCTATAAAATGTTCTTCTACAAAATTCTAATCTTAGTACCAAGTAAATATTCTAAGCCTCTTGCATCTGAGAAGAAATGTCTCCCTTTGGTGTCACTTCAGGTCCCCAAACCTTTCTCTGGCCCAGTAAGACTGCATTCCTCCAATCCTAATTTGTCAACATTAGATTTTGGAGAAGAGAAAAATTACTCTGATGGCTCTGAAACCTCGTCAGAGTTTTCTAAAATGCAAGAAGACCTGTGTCATATTGCCCATAAAGGTAAATGAGTTTTCTTTTCTTCCTGATGTGTTTGATGAAAATGTTAGAGGCATGTATGGGTATAGGATGTCCTTGGAGAGGGGATCTTAGTTGGTTCATCTTCTGCTCTAGTAGGATTTGGGACAATCTAATTTTTACTTTATTTCCCTGTACTAGGGAGTGTATTGACAGGAAGTTTCTTTTTTAAGCCCTTAGGGGAAAGAGTGAGAGCATTAGTTATTCTTTAACTCACATGCTGCTGGTGGCTGTATGAATTGGTGCTTTTCTGGAGAGCGATATGACATTATGTTTCGAGTTAAAAAAAAAAAAAATCTGCCTATCCAGCAATTCCACTTTGAAGAATTCATTCATAGAAATTACTTTCGAATTTATCCAAATAAAGAGATCTCTTATAGAATTGTTTATCGTATCAAAAATTAGACATGGGGCATCTGGGTGGCTCAGTGGGTTAAGCCTCTGCCTAACCCACTTGCTCGATCCTGGGATCGAACCCCACGTCGGGCTCTCTGCTTAGTAGAGAACCTGCTTCCTCATTTCTCTCTCTCTGCTTCTCTGCCTACTTGTGATTTCTGTCAAATAAATAAAAAAAAAAAACAAAAAAAATTAGACATAGATGTTCAACATCATTAGCCATTAGGAAACTGCAAGTTAAAGCCAGGATGAGATATTACCATACCCCTGGTTTTAGCTCCAAAAAGATGCAAATGCCTGTGAGGACATGGAGAAACTGGGTCTCTCACCTGTTGCTGGTGGCAATGCAGGATGGTACAGCCACTCTGGACGATGGTTTGGCAGCTTTATATAAAACTAAACATCACTTACCATATAAATCAACATTCACATTCCTGGCCATTTATCCCAGAGAAATGTAAACTGAAGTCCATACAAAAACTTACACGTACATGTCCAGAGCAGCTTTATTTGTATTTATTTGTATTAGCTGAAGATCGGAACAATCCAAATGTCCTTCAACAGGTACACGGTTACACAAACTATAGGATGTCCATAAAATGGAATACAGCTCAACAGCGAAAAGGACCAAATAATGATGTGTATGCCTGGCTGCCTGGGCGGGTCTCAAGAACATTATGATGAGGGAAAATAAGCCGGTTTCTAAAGGTTGTGTAGTGTATGTTTCCGTGTACTAACACTTTTGAAGTGATAAACTGATAGGAATAGAGATTAGTGGTTGCCAGGGCTCAGGGAAAGAGAGAAAATATGGCTGTGATCATGAAGGGGTAGCAAGAGGGATCTGGATGGTAATGGAAGGTTCTGTATCCTGATTGTGGTGGTAATTCCATGAATCTACACGTGTGATAAAATTGCATTGATGTGTATTTACACACATAGACACAATGAGAGCACATAAAACTGGTGACATCTGCGGGCAAACTACAGATGCGGCCAAGGTCAGTTTCCAGGATACTGTAGCATAGTTCTGTAAGATGTCACCACAGTGAGAAATGAGCTATAGGGTACCCAGGACCTCTCTGTACTGTTTTTGCAACTTCCTGTGAATCTATAGTGATTTCAGAGCAGAAACTGTTTTTTTAATGGAAATAACCAAAATGCCCAACAATAGGGAAATTGGATTTTTTAATGTAATATAATTATGTGATAGAAGAGTCAACAGCACAGGAATAAACATATGGAGCACACAGCTCTGAGGTTGGGTATTCACTAAGTACTTTACGTGCACTGTTTCATTTCACTCCAGCAGCAGCATGTGGAGCAGATAGTATTGTAATCTTCATTGCACAGATAAGAAAGCTGTGGCTCGGGGGCGCCTGGGTGGCTCAGTGGGTTAAAGCCTCTGCCTTCAGCTCAGGTCATGATCCCAGGGTCCTGGGATCGAGCCCAGCATCGGGCTCTCTGCTCAGCGGGGAGCCTGCTTCCCCCTCTCTCTCTGCCTACTTGTGATCTCTGTCAAATAAATAAATACAATTGAAAAAAAAAAACAAAAAAAACCTTTCCCTCTCCTTCTTCCCCTCCCTGCCTTAATTTTTTTTTTTTTTTTTTTAAATGAGAGAGCAGTGATTGAAGTGAGAGGAAGGAAGATACGGGCTCTGCTGCTTTATTCCCCTGGCCCCGTGTTTTTCTGCCATGACACTGTTGAACTTTTCAGGTCTCTTTTCCGTTACCCCACAATCATACAAGAAACCCTTTCATGTTCTTTACAAATCCCCACCTCAACCAAACTCGTGTCCTAGTTGCTGTAATCGGTGTTGCCTTTTAGGCTTTATGGGAGGAAATCCCTGAAAAAGAGCGTGACTTTTCAATAATACGAGCTGTCGGGGCACTTGGGTGGCGCTGTCGGTTAAGCGTCTGGACTCTCGGTTTTGGCTCAGGTGGTGAGGCTGCGTTGGGCTTGCACTCAGCGTGGAGTCTGCTGGAGGTTCTCTCTCCCTCTGCCCCTCCCGCTCATGCTCTCTTTTGTGCAAATAAATAAATGGATCTTTTTTTTTTAAGATTTTATTTATTTATTTGACAGAGATGGAGATCACAAGTAGGCAGAGAGGCAGGCAGAGAGAGAGAGGGGGAAGCAGGCTCCCCTCTGAGCAGAGAGCCCAATGCGGGGCTTGATCCCAGGACCCTGGGACCATGACTTGAGCCTAAGGCAGAGGCTTAACCCACTGAGCCACCCAGGTGCCCCAAATAAGTGGATCTTTAAATAAAAAAACCCCATGAACTGTCTTTTTACAAATGAGAGGATAATGCATCCCACAGCAGGGATATCCTGCATTTTATCACGGAAGAAGCTACTCCCTCAGCAGAGAGAGAGGTTGCCATGTGGAGTTCGGCCCCCACTGCCTTACCCCTGCAAAGCGCTCAGCCTCCTGGACCATCTATAATGGGCTGCGGCCAGCTGCTCTGCCTTTCAGGATTTGTCAAAAAACAGCTGGCTGCAGAGCTGCCACACGCCTAGACGAGGTCGAGATCTGTGCTCCCAGAAAGGTCCAGGTGTGCTTACTCAACAACAACAGCCTTTGCCCCGTGGGCTCGCAGACTCGAATTGCACCGGGAGCCCAACAGGCTGTGTTTCCCTGCTGTGGTTTTCAAGTACACTCGCGTAGACTGAAGGGTCTCTGGGAGTCCCTTTCACACAGGCTGTGACTCGGAGCCTCATGGGATGGAGACACTGCTTAGGTTTGTCCTCAGTCCCGGGTGCTTGTGTGCTTGCTCACTTCCATACATTCAAACTCAAAGCATCTTGACCTTTCCTTTCTTCCTGCCTGGGCCTGACCTGGTCAAGGACGGTTTTTGTGGTACTTTCTTGAATGTATGACTAATCTATCCACTGTGATTCCAGGGAAGGTCAACTAAATGTAGGAATTCCACCGATGGTGTAACATAGTCTGTGTTACCTACTTTTTCTTTAATTTGTTAAATGCATCTGCATTCTCTGTTTTTTAGAAGATTAGATCAAAGATTAGACAACCTATATATACCCATCATAGGTGAAAAAGTCCTTATATATTATAAATGGAATTTGATTTTTATGGCATATCTCATTGGTTCATGTGTCTGGCTTTGAGCATATGTTGACACACATTTAAGTAAGCAGAGAACAAAATGTACTAAAACTTAAAAGTCATTAAGGAATTTGCGTTGCATATATTAAGTGTTACATTTCTCCAAATATGTTTCACAGAACACTTTGCCCATAAAATGCTTTTAAAAACAAAAGAATTCCATGGTTAAAAATGTTTGGAAAACTCTGCTGACCATGGTCCCCTTTGAATTTGCCCAAGAATAGTAAATATTAAAGGCCCTGAGACGTCCTGCAGCAGAGAAGTTTGTTAGCTTTGTTTAAGTCAGTGATTTTCAATGTCTCTGGAAAACTTTCCCTCACTTCCCCAGTAGCTGTTGACACCAAGGAACTAAAGTTCTTGAGAAACATAATGCAGGAACACAGTAAATAATAAACCTTTATGGAGCTAACCCTCTATACCATCTGAGTCAAAAGGCAGACATTCATTCTAGGCCACTCTGTTATGACTAGCTGTGGAATTTTGAGCTCACTAATTAACTTCTCTGGGCCTCAGTTGCCTCATTTGTTAAATGTCCTAAAATATGGGATGCCTGGGTGGCTCAGTTGGTTAAGCAACTGCCTTCAGCTCAGGTCATGATCCTGGAGTCCCAGGATGGAGTCCCGCTTCGGGATCCCTGCTCAGCAAGGAGTCATCTTCTCCCTCTGACCTCCCCTGTCTCATGCTCTCTTTCTATCATTCTCTCTCTCTCTCTCTGCCAAATAAATAAATAAAATCCTTTAAAAAAAAAAAAAAAAACAAAACCTCTCTTAAAAAAAAAAAATGCCCTAAAGTAGTTCTCCTGACTTTTGGGTCTCAAATTCTGTAACTATTTTCTGTGATGGGTTATTTTGTTCTGAATCGAAAGAATTCCTGCTGTTGCTTATTGTTACAAGAAGGTTTTGTGAGACAGTGGACTATTCTTAGCTGAAATAGAAATGACTGAATATGGTAAGCAGTTCTAGGATAGGAAAGCAAGGACTAGGATAGGACCAGGGTCCTCTGGGAATGGGGCATTTATGTTTGACTTTGGAAAGAAACAAGGCTTACTGATAGTTTCGTGAAGGCATTTCAGACAGGGAAATCATGATTTATAAATGAGAAGGTTAAAAGTAGAACAGAATTAAACTGTATTCCATTATTTAGTATTCTTTTGTTTTTGATTCTTTTCTTATGTTGAGTTTTAATTGTTGTAGGATCATTTTCTGAACTGTTTTGAGTTTCTGGAAGCATTGGATAAAAAGCTAAGCATATCACAGTGATACCATTTTCATAGATTAAAAGCTAGAAGCTATACAGAATTTAAAGAAAAGCCAGATCATTTATCGAGCATAATTTAGAATTCAGCATAAAAATGCACTGAGCACTTGTATTTATGAAAATTATCCAGAAATAAGTAAGACCATTTAATCAAATTATCTAATGTATCTAAATGAAAGAACCATTTGGATAGAATATCAGAAAATATTT